AGGATTTAGTGTTTAGGCTTTAGGCTTTAGGGTTTAGGGTTTAAGCTTTAGGGTTTAGGGTTTAGGGTTTAGGCTCTATAGGGTGTAGGGTCTTGAGTTTAGTGTTTTAACCTAAATACCCTAAACCCTTAGCTCTTCAATCCTTAACCTAGGAGCCATCAAAGCCCCCAACACCCAAGCTCTAAAACCCAAACCCTAAGGAAAAGCTGAGGCCTTAAATCATAGATACGGTTGATGATATAACTCCTGGATTGCCTCAAGGACCCTAAACTACGGTAATTATATGGTATATTCCTTATTATGGGTCATGTAGGATTTATATCATCAACCGTAGGTTCTAATCCTTTGAATCATCCCGGAGCCTCCACCCCTGGGAAGTTCAGGCGCTACACCGTAACCCAATCGAAAGCTCCACACCCCCAAACCCAAACCCCTCCACCACCACCGCCCCAATATAGGGGCCTGCATAATTACCTGGTCCCTGCATTAACCCGTCAACTCTAACATTTAAGTTGCAGCTGAGGCAAGATCAGTGGGAAGAATGCACCTCCCAGCCTCGCGAGGCAGCAAAGCAGAGCGCAGCAGGTGGGCTTTGTGGGTCAATATAGGGGTCTGAAAAGTAGTGATCTATCCTTATAGATGGGCCTCGCACACAAATATACCCCAAAACGTTATTGAAATCATGAAGGCCGATGGATTGCTTAATGCTTCGAAGAACTTCGAAAGAACACTAAACCCATAAAGCCCTATTCTGATTACGAATCAGGCCCCTATATCAACGTGTTTTTCGGGCCTGGCGGCTGTTGGAGTTTCGGTTTAGGGTTTAGGGTTTAGGATTTGGGGTTTAGGGTTGAGGGTTTAGAGTTTAGGGAGTTGAAATGTCTAGGGATGTAAAGTAGAGCTTTCGGGGGGCTTGGAGTTCAACTCTGATGTTGCTTAGAAGATGTTTCTCTTTCAGTTTGGGTTTTATTCGGCTTGATTGCTCGGTAACTTTTATACAAGGTTCCAAACCTTTAATCCTAAGCCGTATGGGAAGCTTTGAGCTTCGGATGGACATGTTGTTAGGGTTTCGCGGCTCGTGGTTCAGTAATCAGTAATAAGTTCCTTCGTAGTATGGCTCCGGGCGTAGTTGACTCCGCATTAACGAGCACTCTATGGAAAGTTGCTGCACCTCCTCAGCAAGGAGGCGTCCAAGAATCCACGCCGCCAACTTCAATACAAACCCTGTGCTGTCTGGCGCTTAAAAACATATCGCGCAGCAGCCCCGAAACCCCTAGGCCACAAAAGTCGCGTCCTGAACACCCCAGTGTCCCACTTTCCGTGTGCGTTTCCGCAGGAGCTGCAGGCCCAACACGAGGCACGCGGTAAACGGGTATGAGAAGGGCATACTATAAGGGGTACACTGGTGTCATAAAAGGTACATGGGATCAGGGTCTAATAGATTCTAAGTGGCCTTCTGGAGTTTAGGGTGTGTTTGCCGTCTGAAACTTTTCCGCGTTCGGATAGCTCGGGTTGCCCAGAGAGTCAAGGGTTCCGAGGTGAAGGATCCCAGGGTGTAAGACAACAACCTTTTGGGGCTCTGGTTTTCAGTTTCAGGTTTGAAGATCAGGTCCGAGGGTAAGTTGGAGAGAGATGGTTCTTTCGGAATTGATTTGGGAGTTTCCGAAAATTAGGATACCTTATTTTGGGGTCCTTTATCATAAGGATGCTACTATGTAGGGTACTACACTAAGGTCCCCTATTTTCGGAGCCCCCCCATTGGGTTTTAGATATCTTGTCATAGCGAACGTATCTCATCTTCGAGCTCTTTGCCGAACTCCCTATCTTGCTGCGTGCTTACAGTCTGTCTTACCACGTCGTATCTCACCTTGTCGTGACATACCGTGTCTATATCCGTAACCCAGCTGTCAATTCTGGTAGTATCTTGTCTTCTGTCTTCTTGCTGTATTGACCATGTCTTTCATTCACGTGGGCAAGTTGCATTCCAGCACAGTTTCTGTTTCCAGGCATACCGCTGATGTGTGATGTGCGATACATGTTTGTTGCACATTGCACGCTGCACTGTGCTATGCTGCACTGTGCCATACCACACTGTCAGCGTCAGGTGTTCTAGAGGTACCATGATACCCCAAAGCCCAAAGGAAAACCATTGCCGTGCATGCACACCCCGTTCACTTTTCGGTTCAAAGTTCTGCACCCCAGGATCGACAACCTTAAACTACGGTTAGGGTTTGGGGCTCAGGGCCTAAACTCGATCTCTAACTCTGCACTTTTAATTCCTCATCGCAACGGTCACTTCAGACCTGAAACACGTAACGCTGAATTCCATGCCCTACTTGGAGTCTCATGGGTAGTTATACGTAGGGTTTTATGACCCCACCTATAACTACCCCTAACCGTAACCCCTAAACCCTATAGAACTTTATAGAATCCTAAACCTACTTATCTTACTTATTACAACCCCACCCATAACTGCCCCATGAACCTCGAAGTAAGTCACCCAAAGTCCTTCAGCGCAAAGGCCGATGCGAAGCTGGAGAAGGAGGGTGTTGGCAGGAGCGGTTTAGGCTTTAGGGTTTGGGGTTCAGGGTTTGGGGTTTAGGGTTTAGAGTTTATGGGCTTTACGGTTTGGGGTTTAGGGTCTTCTTCGGGTTTGGGTTTTCTGGGCTTGGTTCTTTATGAGGCTTGGGTTTAGGGCTTTGGGGTTTAGGTGTAGATACTAGTGTAGGGTTTATTGCTTGGGGCTTTCATGACAGAAAATGCAGGAGTTCTACTAGTTGAAATTTAGCATCTTATGGAAGCTGTGAGACGTACCCTAAACCCTAAACCCTAAACCCTAAACCCTAAACCCTAAACCCTAAAACGGAATCGGGGCGGAGGGTTCAGGGATCCCTCGGTTCCCAAGTAGGGGTTGTGGCTTTTGCGTTTGTGGTTCAGGCTGTCGGGTTTAGAGTTTAGGGTTTAGAGTTTAGGGTTCAGGGTTTAGGGTTTAGGGTTTAGGGTTTAGGGTTTGGGGTTTAGGGTTTAGGGTTTGAAATTCCTGCTCTCCGGCCTTGGCAACCTAACCTTACCCATAGCCCAAATAGTAGTTCCATTTGGGGATTACCTAATAGGATCCCAGATATAAGCCACGAAAAGGAACTACTATGAGGCCTATTGGTAAATTTCAACAATTTGAAACTTAAATTTCAATATTTTAAAAAATTTCGGGGTTAAGGGTTTCGGGTTTACCAGAAGTACTGTCGTTTTGCGCGGCGCCTGTTTAGACCTGTTTGCGGCATCCATGTGGGAGCAGTCTTTGGGGTTTAGGCTTTAGTGTTCGACTAGTTCGTGCTTGTTCACTGCAACCACTGAAGGGCCTTTGATGAGAAACTCTGAACTAGCTACTTGGCAGTGGGCTGGGTCGTGGCCCGTGCAGGCTCACGGCTGTCGGGTGAAGGAAGCAACAAGCATTTTCTATGTGTTTTTTGCCGAAGGAACAACCCAGCATCCGAGATGAAGATGTGGATACGCCGCCCCCTCACACCCTGGGTGTGTTTGTGCCCTAAACCCTAAACCCTAAACCGCCGTCTCAAATAGATTCTGCTGCCACTGCTTTCCAGACTCTGAACCCCAAGCAGACCCTAAACCCCAAACCCCAAACCCTAAACCCTAAACCCTCAAATTTTGAACCCTAAACCCTAAACTCTAAACCCTTATAAACCCTAAACCGTAAACTCTAATTAAGCCCTTATAAGCCCTATTTAAACACTAAGCCCTTAAACTCTAAACCCTGATAAACCCTAAACCCAAAGCCCTTAAACTCTAAACCCTTAAACTCTACGCAAACCCTTATAATACAAGCACAAACCCTAAAACCTTAAATTTTAAACCCTTATACACCCGACACCTCCCCTCCTCGCAGGATCGAAGCAGCGCAGTACGTGGAGCGCTTCGACCAGATGCCCTCCTGGGAGAGCTGCGCCGCGGTTTTTATATAGAGCTTTTAGGGTTTTACTGTTTAGGGTTTAGGGTTAGGGTTGTAGGGTTTAGGGTTTTAGGGTTTGGGGTTTAGGGGTTTAGGGGTTCGGGTTTTGGGTTTAGGATTTAGGGTTTTGGGTTTAGGGTCTTAGCGTTTAGGATTTAGGGTTTAGGCTTTTAGGATTCGGGCTTTTAGGGTTTAGGGTTTAGGGTTTTAGGGTTTCGACCCTCTTGGAAGGGTTCTGTAAGGGTTCGGCGCCTTTGCCGTTAGCCCATAACCCTGAACCCTATAAACCGTCAACCTCAAACCCTAAACTGTTGAGGCTTGGGCTCCGGGTTTTTTAGCTCCTGGGCCGCGGTGGGACATGGTCTCGCTGGGGTTTTAGAGTTACACGGCACTCTAACACACGGCACTCTAACCAGGGCTTCAAAAAGATCTTGTAAACCTTCGACAAACTTTTGTATTTTTTTGTATAGTCTAGACCTCTTAAAAAAATCCCAAACCCCTTAGCCCCAAGCCCCAAGCCCTAAACCCTAAACCCTAAATCCTAAGCCTAAACCCTAAGCCTTAAACCCTACAGCCCATAGAAGGGTTCTGCAATTTTTGGGGCTTGGGCTCTGCGGCTTCTTCATCTTGTAGTTCCACGAGAGCTCTGCTGCGGCGGGACATGGGCCGAATTGGGGCTTTATAGGGATTTAGGGTTTAGGGTTCAGGATCTAGGGTTTAGGGTTTAGGATCTATAGCCACAAAAAGCTGGCTGTGCAACTTACGGTTCGCAAGGGCGTGGGGGCTGATCAGGGTTTAGGGTTTAGGGTCCGAGGGTTTCGAGTTTGGGTTCGGGTTGTTTGGCTTGGCGGCTGGTCACGTAGGGGTCCAAGGTATCGTAGGGTGGGGATCCGGAATTCGGATTGAGGGTCAGGTTCTCGTCCTTTAAATCCTGGACCCTCAACCGCCTTACCACACCTACGTTTCGGGCTTTAAGGTTCGGCTTTAGTAACGGCTTTAGGGTTTGGGGCTCAAGGTTCGGCTTTAGAGTTTGGGCTCAATTTAGGGTTTAGGGTTTAGGGTTTAGGGTTTAGGGTTTAGGGTTTAGGGTTTAGGGTTGCTGAATGACGGTTCTTTGTTGCGCATTTTCTCTTCAAGCTGCGAAACCGAGGTGTGCACCCGGTTGCGAACTTCAAGAAGAATGAGCGTGGTTGCTTGGCTAGGGTCTAATTATAGGGGCCGAAATTATTACCGATACTACTTCTGGGGTTCCTTATGAAAGTTACAGCATAACATACCCCCCAAACCCTATTCTAGTTATTAAGGCCCCCATATTAGGTTCATAATGTGGGAAAGTATTGCCGGGTTCAGGCTTCGGAAACTGGGGTTCATGGCATCCCAGACCGAGATCCAGCGCACAGGTTCAACCCTCAAACCCCAAATCCTAAACCCTAACCGAACAAGACTCCACTAATTTTCGACCCGAAACACCACAAGGAGGCATCCCAAAGTGTGAGCCCTAATTACACTGCGGGGTTCACAAACCCTAAACCCAAAACCGGATAACGCACTAGCATCTTGCAGACGACATGGGTTTAGGGTTTAGGGACTACGGTGTAGTGTAGGGCCTAAGACCCTGCGGTTTAGGGACTTGGGCTGGAGTTCAGGGCTCAGTGGGGCATGCGGGACGAGGTGCCATTATCGGGTGCAACATCATGAGTCTGCAGAAAGACTTCATCGGCCACTTCATCGACAGGCCGATTTGCGAGTGCGAGGGCAGTTGTCGTCGTCGCTGTCTAGCCCAAAACGCTTCAAACTTTAATCACAAAATCTAATGTTTAGCCGCGGTAGCCCTGCGTTGGCTCTGCAAGGAGGCGAACAGCCCGCAAAACTACAGAACCACTTTAATGCCATGTGTTCCTCGGGTATTTGTGGTTGGGACGTCTTCTGATCTTATGAGAAGCCTTCAGGCCCACAGGTGCTTAATGGAAAGCTGACCTGAATAGGCATCGTGTTTGAGAATGTGGCCAACAACGTCCGAGCATACTTGTTGGTGCCAATGGGGATGGCAACTACCGATGACGACGATGATGATGAATGGGGGGGGGGGTGATGGTGATTGTATCGTCGCCGTGATGGCTTATGCCTGACAGTACATGGGAACCGTGCTGAAAGCAGACATCGTGCTGCTTATCCGAGAAAGGGTGCTCAGAGCTCCCACAGCTACAGAAAGTTTGACCCAGGTCCCCAAACATCTCAAATCGACCCAGGTCCCCAAAGCGGGTATGTTCAAAACCTGTAGGGGGAAGATTGGGCTTGAAGGTTTCGGACTTTTCCTCAAGATTTTTTGGCTCAGAAGCTGGCGTTGAGGGTTTAGCGACTAGGTTTTGGGTATATCTGGCGTTTATGCTTTTGGCTGAGGGTTCAGGGTTGCCGGTCGTAGCCGAAGCTTGACCCTTTTTTGTACCCCAAACCCTAAACCCCAATCCCTAAACCGTGGTAGAGGTTCTTCTCGTTCATGCCATAATACTCTGTCAAGGCGGTCTTCTCCTTTTAAGTCTTCTTCATATGTGCCTTACCGAAAGCTTGACCTAGGCTACCGAAACATATCATGTTGTAGGGTCCCGATTCGGGTTTATAACCTACTACGGTGGATGATAAAAATCCTGCATGACCTTAGTTGGCCCTAAACCATGGGAATTATGGTATATTCCTTATGATGGGATAATGCAGGATTTATATCATCAACCGTATAAGGGTAGGTTCTGGTAGTTTAGCGCAGACCTCAAGCACGGTATGCCAGCGCATCTCACGGTTTTGGGTTTCGGGGTTGGCAGAGCCTTTGGGTTTGGGGTTTGGGGTTTCGAGGATTAGGGCTAGGGGCCCAAAAACCCGAAGGCGGTCTTAGGTGTCGAGGGTTGCAAGATGCGCACTTTGAAGTGATAATATAGGGGCCTTTACTAATTACCTATATTACTTTGGGGGTTCTTTATTCTAACGTTAGTATAATGGGCCCCCCAAGACCGTATATTAGGAGCCCTGTCGAAGCTTGTCACGCTAAGGCAAGATGTTGTGGCAGGAGTAGCAGGTCCGGCGACCGAAGCCATAAACCCTAAACCCTAAACCCTCAACCCTAACCCTCAACCCTAAACCCTAAACCCTAAACCCTCGCCGCCCCTCAAACGAACAAGCCCCAAGTAACGCTGCAACTCCTCAGCTTGGCCTGGCCTCATCCAGAACCTCAAAACTCAAGCCACACCTCCAGAAGTACCTAAACCCTAAACCCTAAACCCTAAACCCTAAACCCTAAACACCCTGAAATCCTGAAAGGCAGAGCATGACACGGGCCCACACCCGCAGCAGCATAAAGCCCTCAGCTACCCTAAGCCACAACCGACCAGGAACTTGCAGAACTCTCTGAACTTGAACGACTTGAAGCTTGACAGGCATGCCAGGGATCATGACTTTAGGGTTTTGGGGTGTCTAGGGTTTAGGCTGTGTGGCGGTTTTTGTGGTTAGTTCGTCGAGGTCTCGGGCATCACGTTCAGGGCTGGAGGTCATGAGGGCTTTGGATAGAGCAGCCATGTGAGGGCTTTGGGGGTTTGAGGGTTTTGGCTTCAAGGTTTAGGGCTTGCAGGTTTAGGGTATATACGTTCTAGAGCATGCTGCTATCTGCAAGGAATTAGAGCATGCCACTCTGCAAGGAATTAAGAATTAAAGCCTGGCAGGGCGGCAGTGCACAGGCATAAATACGTCTTATTTCTGTGCACACAGATATGTTGATGCAGTAGTTATGTAGGCACGTATACGGTATTAAAATGGCTAAGTCGGTTTGCAGGGTAGGGAGGTAGCCGGTAGGTGAGTAGACACGTAGGTAGGCACGCACGTACCTATGTCTGAATGTGTGCATGTATGTCTGAGTCTATTCCCCTTAAGGCTCAACATAACCCAGAAGCCTTATATCGTATGGTCTTTGGGCCCAACATGTTTGGGCCCAAAAGCCCTATATGGTAGGTCTTTGGGCCCAGAAGCCTTAAAATATGAGTCCTTAAAGCCGTAGGGCTCCGAGAAGAGACCGAATATGCTTTGAGTGCTGAGTGGCGCGAGAATGTGTTTCTTCATGGCTCGGGCTTGTCGATTTCGTGTCTTCACGTCTTTTGGGTCTTGGTGGGAGGGTCTAGAGGTTTAGGGTTTAGGGTTTAGGGGTTTCGGGGTTTAGGGGTTTCGGGATTTAGGGGTTTGGGGGTTTAGGGGTTTGGGGTCCGCCGAGGGCCGAGCATAATTTGGCCCAAGTTGCACATAGCATGGAGGCTACGTCCACTCTTAGGCCTATACCCTTTGACCGCCTTGACCCTAAGCACCGCCCTGTTGTCCAAGCACAGGCATTGAGGTACTAGGCCCCATACGGCTCCAGATGCCGAAATCTCAATCTTGAGACTCGAGGATTTTGGTTTCAGGGCGGTGGGCTAAAATCGCTGAAGCCCTAATCCGTAAACCCTAAACCATAAATTTACCAGTTGGGGTTGACTGCGTCCTGCGCAGGGATTGGTCGAAGGTGACCCACCAGGAGAACCGGCTGTAAGGTTAGGTTGTCAGGGTTAGGGATTAGAGTTTAGGGCGTTTGGGGTTTAGGATGTTCAGGGTTTAGGGTGTAGGGTGTCAGGGTTACGGGTGCACGATTCGGAGGGTTTAGGGTTTAGGGATATCAAACAAGTGAAGAGTTCAAGTGGGCATCCTGCGACATGGATCCCCCGGGTGAACCAAGCCTACATTCCCACCACTTGTTTTGTCGGCGTTTGCTCGCGAACAGGATGTCGAGGTTTTGTGGCTTTTAAGAAAGAGTAGGAGAAGGGCATTCGTCGATGGCGACTGAGTCGTCCATCGTCTTTCTGCTTGTGGGGGAGCGTCGACGAACAGCAGCAGTCCGTGATAGTCAGGATCCTATGTAGTAGAAGAATGCCATCAGATATGGTGCTCTACAAGGCCACAGTGGCAAGAATGGCGTGTCCGGTTTTTAACAAAATGCCTGTCGGTAGCAGCCTGCCTTACCCTCAAACCCTAAGCCAGCCAGGTCCCTGGCCTCTTTAGGGTTTGGGTCAGGGCTTAAAGCTTCTGCTAAACCGTGCAGTGAACACAAAGATCCGAGTACTTCAGGTCCATATTGAGCCGCTTATTCCCTAAGCAATTCCGGTTGCTGTTTGGGTGTCGTGGCAGGAGTCTCGATAGGCTCGGTGAGTTTCCCGAATAAATCTAGGATGTCCCGCTTGCACTAGTTTTAACTACCAAAACCTACTCTTGTAGGGCTATAAATTCGATGTTTTTGTTTGCAATGGGAACCTACGACATAGTAGGTTATGGTAGTTTAACGTGACTTTTATTCCAAAGCCCTCAACCCTAAACCCCAAACCCGTAAACCTAAGCCTTAAGCTGACTCCCCAAACCCTAAGCCCTAAACCCTCAACCTTAAACCCTAAACCCTCAACCTTAAACCGTGAACCCTGTACACTGTAGATTCCTTAAAGAAGCCCTTCACAAAGACCTCTAAGGGAGCGCTATGGGTTTTGAAACCTGAGCCTTCTGGGAGGATGCGGTCCAGCTGGTTCATCACATCGAGGGCGGAGCTCTTCTAAGCAAGAAGGAGAGGGTTTAGGGTTCAGGGTTCATGGTTTAGGGTTTAGTGTTCAGGGTTTAGGCTTTGTGGTTCAGGGTTTAGGGTTTGGTTTGGGTTTAGGTTCAGGGTTTACGGTACAGGGATTTAGGGTTTAGGCTGGCCCTCAACCCTAAGCCGCAAAACCATGACTCGTCTGAGTACTGAGCCCTTGCCCGAACCCTGAAAAGGGGCCATCATGGACTACCAATTAGAGATTTTAGTTTATCGGGAGGTAGCAATGTGCTCCTAGACCTTTGCATTACCGTCAATCGGGGGTCCTCAGGTCCTTAGACCTTTGCTAGTTTTGGGAGTCTGCCCCCACATACTCGGGATACCGGAGTATGCACGCTGTGCGAGCAGAAAATTGTAATTTAACGGCCGCAAGTGATTGTCGCTTGTACAGCTTGATAGCGAATGCAGCTGCTTGTTGTCAGTACAGCACGGCCTGTTTATAGGTTCAGGCTTTTCCCAAGTCATTGACCCTCGACCCTGCACCACAACCCTGAACGCTCGAGGGTTTAGGGTTTATCCTTTAGTGTAAAGTTGGGTGTTGCGCTGAGGGTGTAGGTTGAGGGCTTGCAAACTTCGTTGATGTCGAACGCTTCGAGCACCGTATTAGAAAACCTGCATAACTCAATCCTGCAGCCCAACCCCCTAAACCCCTAAACCCCTAAAGCCCTAAACCCCCAAACCCTAAACCCTAAACCCTAAACTCCAAGCAAGAGAGTCAGTCCATCAGTGCCAGTGCTGTGCCAGGACCACCTTCAGGGACCCAAGGACAGAGCTTGACGTTTCGGGCTTAGGGGCTTAAGGGTAAATCCTGACCGCTCCTAACCCGTATCCAACCCTGCGTCCAGGAGCTTGTCAAGGAATTGCCGGTGCTAGCTTGGAGAATTTGGAATTGGGGGTTTTTGGTGTATTGTGGCTGGCAGGTCCATTCGACTGAGATGTGGTCATCGATTCGTATTGCAAGCCTTACCCCACAAATTCGCGATTTCGGGAGCCCGAAATCCAAAACCCGCAACCCGAATCCCTGACAGGTCCCCGACCTCGACATCCGAAATCCTCCAATCCTAAATTCTAAATCCTCGGAGCCCCCAGCGTCTTAGATCCAGGCTGTATTCTGTTTTGATGTCGGGTCGCGTCAGGAAGTCTCAACGATAAGCCTCGACAGTGGAACTCCCACCTGCGCACGCCACTCCCCTCAGCCTGGGACCCTTAGATTCAAACTGCTCAGATCAAATAGGTCCCAGTTTAGGGTTTAGGCGTTCAGGGTTTAGGGTTTAGGGGTTGAGGGTTTAGGGTATAGTGGAAATAACAACAGCGAGACGTGTAACTGAGCACTAAACACTGACATCTCAGAACACTCACTGAAGCTCAAGACAAACACCCGGAACACCCCGGCAGGACTACGTGGTTACGGTGCCCTGGCATGTCAGAGAGGTTTTGTGGGCACTAGGATTGGTTACGTTCATTTTGCGGCCTTGCTTTACGCAAAAAACAAGCAGAAGGCAGCAACAACGGCCAATACATCACCAGAAATCAGAAAGGCAGCAACAGTAAGAGTAATCAGGAGAACAACAACAATTAAACGTAAAACATAACTAATGCTGATGATCGTTTGCAAGAAGCCTTAGAAAGTTGCCAACAGCAACAGCAATGCACCCGAAGCAGCAGTAGCAGCAGTAGTAGAAGCAGCAGTAGTAGGAGTAGCAGAAGCAGCAGCAATAGCAGCAGCAGTAGCAGTGCAGTAGCAGTGCAGTAGCAGTGGCAGTAGCAGTAGCAGTAGTCGTAGCCGTAGTGGTAGCGGTAGCAGCAGCGGCAGCAGTAGCAGTGGCGGTCGCAGTAGCAGTGGCAGTGCTCGTAGCCGTAGCAGTAGCAGTAGGAGTAGCGGTAGCGATAGCAGTAGCAGCAGCCGCAGCCGCAGCTGCAGCAGCCAAAACAGTGGCAGCAGAAGCCACAACAACAATGACGACGTCGACGACGGCAGCAGCAACAGCAACTTAGGCAGCAGCAGCATAGCGGCGGCGGCGACAGTGAGAGCGACCTCGACATCAGCAAAGCAATCACTATACGACAACAATATCAGCGAAGAACAGTCGGCATCGGCCGCAGCACCGAAGTCAACACGCAATTTCAAAAGTGACAGCCATCGTTGTCTGGCACGTGTTCACATGGTGGTGACTGGGGGCTACCGCTGTCTTTTCGGGTTCCTGAATAGAGCCTTAGGATGGCGGCTGAGGTATTGAAAGCACATTGCATGGTATCACCACATGAACGACCCTTGCACAGGATCTGACTCCGAAACGCTCTGGTTTAGTTCATGTTTATTCGCATTATCGGTTGGAGGCTTTATCGGTTCTCAGGTAGACAATCTCATCAAGCTCATGAGCATCCAGCAGAGACTGAAATATGGCCTGCCAGTGTTACCTGGCTGCATCTGCATCGGATAGACAGCAGACTACAACTCCTCAAAACCCCCCAGGCCTTTAATCCTAGATCAGCAAAACCTAAGAACAACCTTGTACCATTTTACCAGCGTTCAGATAACCCTAAACCCTAAACCCTAAACGATGGCTTCAGATTCAGAACTTGGAGTTTGGGCGGCTCGAGACTTTCGGGTGTATGATGCTACGCCGACAGCCCCGCAGCCCTAAGCTCCTAACCCCTTGGCTAAGCCCGGGTTGCTGTAAAGCCCTTGTAGAGCCCTTTAGACCGTATAATGCCCTTACTTACCCTCAAAGGATGCGAATTTTAAGGCTTCTGGACCCAAAGACCCTATTATACAAGGCTTTTGGGCTATTTTGATGCTAAGGGTTACAGAAGTCCTGTAAAACCTTACGGAAATCCTTGCTCCTGAGGTTCAGGGATCAGGGTCGTGCTTAAACCGCAGGCCAGCATGCTCCCCAAAGAACCCAGTACTTGACTCCTTAATGAAGGAGCCTGCCTTCAACTACGGCACTGTAGGGCCCTGATGATGCTTCCTCTTGTTGTTATGATAATTTAAATCATGATTAGCCCAAAAGTTCGATGCAAGCTTAAGGCTTTAGGGTTCTTTAGGGTTTAGGGCTGCGTTTGGGGTGTAATGGCTTGGGGATTGAGGGACTCTCAATGCCTACACCCTCATTATTAGTTTGTGATGCTCAACCCTATAAACCCCTAAACCCTACAAACAAAAATAGGAATTTGGGGTTTATAGGCTTAGGGCTCCAACTTTGACGACCCTCAGCCTGTTTGGGGGGTTTTCGCTCAAAGCCTGGACGTCGCACCGCACAGGAGTCTCCAGTCTTACATAGGAGCAACACCCAGCAGCACACCGGGTTTAGGGTGTAGGGTTTAGGGTTTAGGGTTTAATCGATTCTAGGATCCTTAAGGGAGGGTGGCTCAAGGGGGAGGGTCCTAGGGAGCCTTAGGGAACCTAAGGGAGTACTAGGGAGAATTGGGGATTACTGGGTTATATACCACCCTTACAACCCCTCCCTTAAGGATTCCAATCTTCAGGCATAGCCTTGCATGACAGGCTTTTCGGCGGGCTTCGGGCTTGCTTCTGATGAGAGATCTCAGAGTTATGGCTTCGGGGATGAGTAGGTAACCTTTGACCTTTTGGGGCTTCTATAATCCTACTATAACTCAACAGGTTAGCCTTTTCTAGCTACTTTGCCCCTAAGACGGGTCGCTTGGATTTCGGCCTTTCTGCTGAGGGCCCCAAGGTCGTTGCAGCGCCTGTCCCAGCCCCTGAGCCTGAGCCTTGTACCCGAAATCTTCATTCCCTAAACCTAACTGCCACGCCCAAACTCAACCCGGAATGCATGCTTTTGCGGTTTTAGGTTGACAGACGCCCGAAAACTATCCGAAGCTATAAGGAATCCTAGCATTAATCATCCTGAACTCATGTTCCTACTTTCCGGGGTTTGCGTTAGGCTGCATGTGTTTTGAGGGTGATTTCAACTAGAAGTTTGGCTTAGATGGGGAGGCCAAAAACCTTAAACCCACGCAGATTCCACATAAGCCCCAAACCTAAAACCCGACACCTAAATTCCCCCAGAACCCCAACCCTAAACAACTCAGACCCCTACACCCCTAAACCCCAACCCCAAACAAATCTAACCCCTACACCCCTAAATCCAAAACAATTCAAACCCCTAAACCCGAAACCCGAAACAACTCAAAACTCTACACCCCCCTAAACCCTACAACCCAAATTCTGTAAGCTTGCCGGCATGGGGTCTCTTGCCTGTGGACGCTCTGCGGGACTGCGGGCCTCAGAGATCTATACAGGAGCCTCAACAGTCTTCGCATCCTATTTATCTACCTATCTACTGGTGTAGGGTTTGGGGTTTAGGGTTCAGGGTTTAGGGCATCCTATTTATCTACTTATCTGAGTGTAGGGTTTTGGGCTTAGGATGTTTGTCCCTATACGTATATACATGTATACATATGTACATATATGCACAAATATATAGTGTATATGTATACACATAATAGTAGTATTACTACTGAAGCAATAAACATAAAAACCATAATGAACATCGTAATCATAATCACAATACTGCCATTAGAAATAGTAGCAACAATAATACGTGCTAGACAGTAGATTAATAATCAGCAACTAAATACAATCTTTATAACAATAAATAAAAAATGCACAAATAAACAAATACATAAAGTCGTGAGAAAAATAATAAGAAAACACTAATAGCAATGACTAAAAGTACATAAAACGGATATGACAAAATATGTTAAATGTATAGATTAATAAACAATAATGATAACCATAACTATAACATTAAGAATAACTATACTACTACTACTACTACTACTACTACTACTACTACTACTCCTGCTGCTGCTACTACTACTACTACTACTACTACCACTGCTACTGCGACTACGACTACGACGACGACTACGACGACGACTACGACTACGACTACGACTACGACTACGACTACGACTACGACTACGACGACTACTACTATTGCCACTACTACTACTACTACTACTACTACTACTACTACTACCACTACAACTCCAACTACAGCAAATTCAACAACAACTACTGCCACTCTTCCTCCTCCTCAAAGGCCAAAGCGAAATCAGCCCTTTTAC